TGCAAGTGTGCCCGTTCCATAAATGAAGGTCGATTCTTTCAGTTGTATTGCCAATTGCATATGCAGGACATTTTCTGTGAAGATTCCTGCACTGATGCCTGTCTGATATAATCCAACGCCCTTCGTGGTATTAGCCAGGGGAGTAGTTGTTTTCTGATAGGCGTCAGTCCATTAAGTATATAGAGACTGGTTTGAACGTTTAAAGTTCCATTTGCTTTAGATTTGTTGATGACTTGCTTAAAAACATCAACCCATAGCCGTTCAATTCTTTGGTTGTGCACTGACCTTCCTGTTATATGACTACCTCTCCGTAAGCCACGAACAGAATTCATCAGTATAGCAACGAACAAATTTTCTAATCCATGATCAGATCTCATACGCGAAGGTAATCCATATTTTTTTACAGCAGGAACAAATAAATTTATAACGGTTTCTGCAGTGACAGATGTGGTACAAGAAACATAAATGATGACTCTGGAATATCCATCAATACAGCCATGTGTAACAAATCCCCACCTAAAAATAAAAATATATTCCATTATTATATATTATTCATTTTACTAGGATGTGGAATTTCTAAGGAGACTGGATGCATTTCGTTTTTATCTATCCCATTTTGTTTATAGTTTCCTTTACAGGATACTAGTGAGATAGAAAGGTTTTGGCTTTCTACTTCTCCGTCTTTATACAAAAATAAGGCAATCTTCCAAATGAACTCTTCATGAAGATGCAAAGTTCATTGAATTCTTAGCGTCGCTTTTGATAATTTGTTCACATTAGAGACAAAACATTGTTCTTTCATTGCCTGCCACACCCGAGTATAGAAACGGATTGTTCTGATTTTAAAAGTAAATGTGAAACACATTAATTGAGTACCTCGATAACTTCATATGAGCATCCATGTGCCACAAAGAATTTGGTGTAGCAACTTTATACAATCTTCTTTTTATTGTTCCACTCCATCTGCTTGCTGTCCCAATAGGATCAATTTCACATAAAATTTTTCTAATTCGTTTTCTTTGTAATATAATTCCCTCAGATTTCAGATATCCTTCCATCATCTAGGACAAAATAAGGTAATAAAAAATAAGAACAATTATTTTTCCAGGTGGTATTGATCATATACTTTAATTATAAATTATACTGAGAGCACTGTAAGACTAATTTATAGTGAAAAACATAGGGTGAAATTATGTGGCAGTCAGGTACCAGTCAGTCAGACATTCGCCTATGTCTGAACCCGTCAACAATTTTGACGAAATCNAATTTCTCGTTTAAATTTTTATTGAAATTGATATTTTTTTTTGGTTTTAATGAATTATTTTATTCTTTCATTAGTGATAGGTATTGTTCAATTTTTAATGTTATATGTATATTTGATTTCGTTGGAACTAATTATAATAAATTGTGAACACTCAGTAATTTTAAATGGTACCTGACTGCCAGTAATTAGTAATACTAATTATTTCAGTTTGAAAGAGGTACTGTGATAATTGTGAATATCACTTCTGAAATGTTTCTGTGAGAAAATTATATTCATTTCATCTGATAATTAATTGCAGAATTTGAAAACTGGGTGGTTTTTTTCATAGTGCAAGTCTTGTGAATTGATTATTCAATATTTTTGTATTTTTCATGCCTGGCACGCTTCCTTTTAAATATTCTCCCAACTGATTCAATACATCTCAAATTCATAATACTCTTTCTGCTAAATTGTTTGGCACACTATTTATACTGAATTTCTATACAGTAACTCATTCAAATCATTGTGTTGAGATTTATGTAAGTTTGTAACATACTGGTAGCAAGAGAATCTTACCACACTGCCACAATTAGGGTGTTTTTCGAGCAACCCTCCCATTATAATTTTCAGTTCTTCATCAATAATGGTGGAATACTTAAATCTAAATTTCAAGTTTTCTTCATAGCATCTCTTGTAAATTGTAGCCACACTGCACCTGAAAGACTTTGCCATTTTCTTCGCAGTAAGACCTTGTGATAATAACATCTCCAACTGGTCTCTACTAATATTAATTGCTGGGCGCCCTGGACCTAAAAATATTATGGCACAAGTGAAACTTGAATGTTTTCAGAGAAAGAGAGAGAGAATATGCTTTATTGTATACATGATAAATCATAGTTACAAAGCTTAAAAATAGTACAAAATAATACATATAAAATATTAAAATCAGTACAAGGTGTGGGTACACACACACCAACAGACACACACATGCATAGTACATACATTAGAAACACAATAAAGTTCTAAGCCTGAGTCAATTT